CGAATACACTCTAATTCAATCCTATAATTTTTGTTCTTTGTTGGGCTTTTTCTTCTCTTACCTCATAAAAAAAAAATGTGCAAAAAGTATATAATGGTGATATTCATCATTGGAAAGGCCTTTATTTCTTGGTACGTCTACTCCCCCAAAATCTTAACAGAATTATAGCTCATTTTCAGGTCAAAATTCCTATAACTTAGTTAAGAATCAATACTTTGACTTACTATTTTCAGCAAACACTTCTCAGTGTTTTTTGTTGGCTGTTTGTTTCGAATTTAAATCGGTTGGTTATGGAGATCTAGCAAAAACGAGGACTTATTTTAGTGGGACTTATAAAAATTTAGAATGAAGTCACATTATTCAGCAAACTCAGAATAATGTTGGTAACATGTAAAAATATTCTAACTGTACTTGTCAATTTCTGAACGACAGATAAATATTTGACCTCTAATCCTACCATGCCTCCCGCTATTGCTTCTATTTTCAATAAAAATTTTCCGCTTTCGTTTCGTCACATTGAAATCCTTTCAAGAAACATATTAGATAGTAGAGATACTCGCGAGAGAAGGTCACTTGATGTGACTAGGCATTTCTGACGCAACATGTGTCTGTTTATAGAGTTTGATGATCATGAATATGAAAACCGCTTATCTCAACAGCTTGTCGCGTGCTATTCATGTATTATATGAATAGCATGTGAACGAAGGCTTTTCTTTCTATCTTCTTCTATCTTTACGGCTAGAGTTCTATTAAAATTCACACGAACAGCACTAACGAGAAAACCTTTCGAAGTCTTTCCGAGGGAACTCTCCTGTTTACAGTAATAAAACCCTAAAAGGATTTATTCCCCATGGCGCTTCTTTCAAAATTTATAATTAATTTTTTTGTTTGCTTATTTAAACAAACAAAAAATTAATTATAACTTTTGAAAGAAGCGTTATGGCCAGAGTTGCCAAATGCTTAGGTCAGAAAAGCGAAGTAAAAAGTCGAAATAGCGGAAATTTTTTCCAAAATGCGGAAAAAAGCGGAAACGCAGTTTTCATCGTATTAGTTCATTATTCACCAAATGCAAAGGGTATCAAAAATTAATTTTCTAGCGCTTTATGATAGTTTCACTTAAGAAACACAAAAGACGTACAAAACATCATTTAACCCACAATTTGATGATCGTGGCTTTTTGTAGATGCGCGTTTTTGATCAGTCGTCATAAATTTCAAGAGTTATGTATGGCAAGATAAAATTTAGTTCGAAACCTTCCCGCCTACGCCATTACTTAATGGTTAAGACTTTTTCTGACCGAGTTGGCTTCCTCGAAGATTTAGTATTTCACTATTTTTCACACTCCTTTTCAGCACTTGAGATAAGCTAACGTTTTTCTGTTAGCGCTCACTCCCGGGGCAAATTTCTGATTTAGTTCTCAAAACAGTGTGTATCTGTTTTATAAAAGTTGCAAAAGCATTGTTTCGACAGGTCATTCAGCTGCCGAAGGCGACAAATTTCTTAATCTTCATTGCAGGAAAAAGGACAAAAACAAAAAATCGTCGAAAAGCGGACGAATTGCGGAGTGTACACTTTGCGGAAAAAACTACAGAAAGCGGAATTTGTCCATAAAATACGGACTATCTGGCAACTCTGGTTATGGCGATAAATTCTTCTAAAGTTTTTGCTAGAACATTATCCTCTATCAACCGACACAATATCACTGAAAACAAAAGATGCCACCTCGGAAGATTCCCTCGCAAGAAATTTTTTCTGACAAGATACTCCTGGAAGTAAATCTATACCAGGAGAAAAATGAAGGAGAAAAATATTTTGACAATGCAATAATCACCGTTTAACATAAATATTTCAATTGTAGGATGAAAAATTTTATAAAACGGTGATTAAAAACGGATATTTTCGTTACTTTTGCAAGCGTTGACGAGTGTATCAATAAGCAGCATAGCCGAAAAACGAAAAAAAAAAGGAAAAAGAACTTTTTTAGCACATGTAAGAACAGTACTTTGAACATACTTTGTTTATCTCTGCCATTTTTCTTTGTTTCTTTGATTAACCCATCCAGAGTGAAATGTTATTCAGGCAAAAATCCATGGTAATTCTACCTCTAAATGAATCATGGACATCTTTCTTGCCTGTACGTTCTTATAACAGAAGCAAAACATATCTCGTGTCTTAGATCATGATCATCATCAATAACAACAGTGGCTTCAACAACAGACTCCATTCTTCTAAAAATGAATAAAAACTACACAGTAAAGAAAGTTTTTTTTTAACATGGCGTACCTAAAACAGATATATTACAGAGAGATGTTACAGAGCAAATTAAAATTCAGTAGAATTTAAAATTCCATTAGTGGAGATTAAAATTTTAATCTCTACTGGTGGAAAATGAAATGCAGATGCCTGCACATGGGCTGAAGCATGTATTCTCCATAAACTAGGTTTTGACTGCAAGATCGAGGTTACAAGGTCAAAAAAAAGCGTTTGATAAAAATGTAGCTGTCATTTCATAACAACGCGCCATAAATTCTGTATAATCGAGGATGCTAGAAAGATGTAGAGTTCCTGAATTTGAAACTCGATAAATTTAACAGTAGCAAAACATACCTCATGTCTTAGATCATGAATGCGCCACAATGCATTATTATGAACAACAGTGAAATCTTCTTCTGCAGCCTTCATTCTTCTAAAAACGAATAAACTACACAGTAAAGAGCTTCTACGCACTCTCGTATAATGAGTATCAGTATTTCCTACTCTTCTTTTTTTCTATCTAGATATATATTGTAAGAGAGACTGAATACAGAAATGTGTTTGGTAAAAACAAAGCCTAATATTATATTCTTTGCGTGTGTATGAGCGAAAATCCAGTCGATGTGGCCTGTGTATTTCAAACAGTTCTTGATTAGTAATACATTGAATTAGTAAATACAAAACGGAACTTCCCAGGTGAAACTCATCTTACAAGATCATACAAGATCTGCCGTTTTCTTATGAAATCTTGTAACAAGGTGTTACTGCATGATCTTAGAAGATTTTGTCTTAGGGTGTTGTAAGATCCTGCGGAATCTTGTAACTTCTTGTCATAAGATCTTACATGATCAGCGCATAAGACGTGACAAGATCTTGCAAGATCTTGTAACACGAAAGCATATGATCTTACAAGATCTTGTCATTGAGAGATGTGACTTGTATTTATTTCTTATCGCAAGATCATACGATTTCTTGTTATAAGATCTTATATGATCTTGCAAGAATCGATGACTCATTCTTATCACATAAATTTTGCTATGATATTGAGTATATATAACATAGTTCTTGTAATAAAACTTAGAATTTCTTTCTTTCTTCGACTTCAAACATCAGCTAAGCGCAAATAAAGTGCATGGCTATAAGGAACGTGGTTAAACACGATCCTAAGGACATTTTTGTCCTACCTACTCAGATCAAAAATCAGATCAAGATCTTACACGATCTTATAAAATCTTACGGAAAATCATAGAAACGGATTCATCTTATAAAATCTTATAATAATCATACAAGAATCTTACGAAATCTGATGAAATCTTACTATAAGATCTTACATCAAGAATCAGTTTCTATGTTTCTTACAGAATCTTACAAATTCTTATACGAATCTTATGAAATCAGACAGAATTGTACAAGAATCTTATAAGATCTTACAGCAAGATTCTCTGACCTGGGCGGGTCTAAAGGAAATTTATAGAACACGATCCGGCACATAATCTTATAAGATCTGTTGAATTCTTACGTGATCTTATGAGTTCTTATCAGTTCTTGCAAGATCATATGATATCTTATAAGAAGTCAAAAGATCTTACAAGATCCTTTGAAATCTTATGGCTTCTTGGAATAAGATCTTGTAAGATCTTATAAGATCATAGGAAATCTTGATATGTGATTGCTCGCCCTGGGTTGTACAAAGTCCTCTATCCTAGATCCGCTATAGTTTAGATGATTTAACAGCATGATCTGTTAAGTATACATTGTGGAACGGTTTTTCGTAGGGACTGTATGTCAAATTGATATAAATTTTTCTACATTTTCTTCGCAGATGTGAGTAGATAGAGTAATCGAGTCAGATTAAAATGACGATGTCACTTTTGGCGCCTATATGTTGGAGAATGTAGTATATTTAATTCTATTGCACAAAAATAATCTAAATTTTGCTCCAATTCGTCAAAGTTGTTCAATTATTATTCGTAGACTGTTCAATATTTTGTCTTTAATTCAAACATTTAAAATTATATAACAAAAATTTTCAAATATTTGGTTTGGAATGCCTTTTCACACGATTATTCTACTTTATGTGATTTCACGAATGACAGCCAATTTAGAGATTTGGACTAGCCGATTTATGCTGGAGTATAACGAGACAACTCCGTACTTATCAAATATCCATTTTTAATCACTGTTTTACAAAATTTTTCATCTCATAATTGAAATATTTATGTTAAACAGTGATTATTGCATTGTCAAAATATTTTTCTCCTTCACAACATCAGCAACATATCACATTGACTAATGTATAAAATAAATTTTTTGTTTTTTATTAGACCATACAAAAGTGATTAATAAATTTTCAGGAAAAATTATTGTTGTTTTTATGTTCCAAACAATGTGTTTCAAATATGAAATATAATATATCTTAAAAAAAATAACTTTTATTTTCTTCTTATTTAAGTTATCATTTTTACCGTATCTTACACCGTAATCAAACTTATAAAAAAATAAACATCTCTAATGATGTGTAGAAATTCTTCGCTCTAAACATGCAAAGAGGTCACATACGATAAGCTGTTTTTTACATAAAAATTAATTATATCACTCATAGTCCGTCATATAAAAGGCTCTTATACTTGAAATACGTATATTTTAATAAAAAATTAGCGACCATGTCAGTGAAATAAATAAAAAATGAATGCAGTTAAATAAAATTAATAACAATAAAAAGAATTCAATAAAAAAGACTCTGAACATTAAGACGATTTCTTGTTTAATGATGAATTAAATTTCACTAAATGTTTTCGTTCAAGTCCAACATCTTCATAACAATATTTCATTATTGTATAACCACAATAAAATTGATTTTGTTTGTCGGGTAATTCACGTAATACTTCCATACAATCTTTGATGGCTCTAACCAATGCATCTACAATAAAAACAATAAGTAAAAAAGTGTGAATTTTAACAGGCATTCTTTTTCTTCTTTTAATTGTTAGATAAAACAGCTCATTCCCATTCTACAAGCAATTTTATTTTTTATTCTTTTATCATTTCCCAAATTGCAAGCAAGAACTTTTTTTTAAATGTTGTCTAGTTCCCATTTACCAAAGAAAAAAGTTATTAAAAATTTCCCCATTTTGCAAGCGAACTATTTAATAAAAAAGAAAGAGTTTATGCTATAAATTTAAATGTTGTCTAATGCATTAATCGTAATTATTAGAGTACTTAAAGTGACTGCTTTTAATCGCAAAATAAAATCTGTTTTTTGGATCAAACGGTTCATAGTCTAATCTAGGTTGATTATGAAATAATATAAAGAAGAGATGAAGGACGATAAAAAACACTTCAAATTCATGCAACCATGCCGTTCTCAATACAAAATCATATTAGTGATAAAAAGCAACAAATAAAATCGGTTCGGAGTTATGGCAATGTATAAGATAAGTTGTTAACTATTAATTGGTTAATACTGTTTTTTCAGTTTACGTAACCTTTTAGACGTGGATGCGCAGGTTCAGTATCAACGTTCAAAGATACGATTCAGTTGAAATCTGCCCATAAGTGTGCAGTGATGGGCAGATATCTGATTATAAAAGAAATGAAAAAAAGGTGTATTACAGAATCTATGCCTGAAACACACGATTTTATCCTATGTTTGGCAAACACAGTCTTAGTCATTGAAGGAATTGACATAAAAGAATATCTAGAACGCGTAAGAAAAACTGCCTACCACTTCATATATAATGTTGGTGGAAAAGACGTGGAGTAGTAGATATTGGTATATTATGTATTCATCGTTAATTACTTTGCTTGCAAAATGGCAAAAGTTTTTAATAAAATGTTTGCTTTCAAAATGGGAAACAACGGATAAAACAGCACTATTTTTTCCAAAAATAGCAAAAGTGTTCCCGTTTCATTTTTCTATAGTTTTGATTCCGGAAAAAACTTATTTTTTTATTTCTTCTGATCTCGGTAAGAAATTTTTATAGATACAAGCATATTCATTCTTTCAAGCCATTTTTACATATGTAAAAAATACGTTAGAAGAAGCCGTTCGCAATTCAATCCAGTTAGTCCAGAAATGAATCATAATTTGTACAATCCATCCGATGAACCGAATTAATCCAAGAAGACACACTTTGTTTGACTGCAAAAAAAGTAAAAAATAAGTTTTTTCCAACATCAAAACTGTAGAACAAATGAAACAACGTTTATTCTGCCATTTTTTCGGGATCTTTTCAATTTTTATCGATTTTTTTCTTCTATTGAGTATTGTTTTATATATCGACTCGTTGTCATTGTGGCTGAAAAACACTATTTTTATGTACACATGATACATCTAATTTTTTATGTAGTACGTCTTTTTCGTATTATGGTCCTGTAAAACATGAATTTCATCCTGGTCCGTGTTTCATTACTACTTAGACTGCAAATTTCAAGATTGAAAGGTTATTTCACTTACGTATGCACCCTTTATTAAAGTCACCATTACTTCGGACACATTTTCCATATGTGTATGGTATCTGTTGAATAGTCGCTACCGTATTAAAACATTGTTCAACAAAACTATCGCGTTTTGGATGGTGCATTAAACCCTAGATATTTAGAGAAAAAACTATGTAAATTCAAAATAGATTACCTATAGTTTTTACTTACATAATGAAAATTTCTGCATGACGGTACTTTACATCTATAATCATCGATGGCAATTGAATAGATTAATCCAGTAAAATTGACAATCATCAAGACAAACAAAGGATTATGATTAATGGATAACATGATGATATATTGATTTTTAATTAGAATTCTTCTTAAAAGTCATAGAGAGTTAAAAAAGAAATTAGATTATTGTTCAGAATTAGTAACCTTTGAAATTTTAATGGAATTGTTCACGGATGGCGTACATGTGAGGAAGAGAGGGAGACTGCGATATATATTTGCTATCGGTGAAAGTGTGCTTGTTTAGAAGTCACAGCAGATAATTATGAGTAATTAATTATAAGCTGTTTTTCTCTCGTTTAGATTGTTTAAAGTGACAGAAGATCATGGTGATAATCGACATACAATGGTATACTCAAATCACATCTTTGTTCTATTTACTTTTCAAACTAAAGTTCATTTTAAGAATCGATTCTTAAAAGGCAACAACATTGAAAATATATACTAACCAAACTATATCTTACAATAGTACTATCCACATTCACGATCAAATAGAAAAGAAAAAAATATACTTTTCTATTATCGGTAACTTAAATACTTGTTTTACGTCCGTTTGGTCTAATAAGATCGTTTTACTCTATTGTACATTTCATAAAAATACAGCTAGCCGTAATTTATTTTAGAATACAATTTTACAAGTGTATCTATTGTTGAACTAATATGAACAACGAGTCTTTCTTTTGACAAGACATCGTTAATAAGGTTATTATAATTTATTTCTTTGAGGGTAATAATTAAAAAAACAGCGAAAAACATGTAGATTTTTAGTGCTTGTCGATTGAGGAAGTTTTCATTGTACTCATATTATTTTTCAATAAATGAATGCAAGAAAGTAAGTAAATAGACAGGATGATAGAGAATTTCAAGCTCTATCAGAATCTATAATTGTCTTTTCAAAACGATCATTCTATAGTAACGAAAACTATTTTTGATGACAAAGAAAAAATCAAGTCTGTGAGAATCTGGACATGAAGGTGTCTTCATTGTGTTCAAATTATTTTTCAATAAACGAATGCAAGAAAATAAGTCAATATACAGGGTGATAGAGAACTCCACGGGCTTTCAGAATATGTAGTTTGTTTTAAATAAATGTGTTTTTATAGTGACAATAAATGAGAAATACAGAGTGAAACTAATTTTTTTCGGGGGGATATATACACACTCTTCACTAGGGGTGTGTTTAATCTGTAGAAGTACCAACGAATAATATTTCGCCGTTAAGAAAAATACTGGAGCAGTATATAGTCAATAGGAGAAAACACGTCCGTTCACAATTGCGACTCTTACGTTGAATACTCAAAACGTTTCAGATTATTGTCAAGTTGGTTAAACTAAACCATCTCGAAGTTGGATTGAGTTGGACTGAATTGACACCTACTAACAAGTAAGTTTCGAGCATCATATTCATTTAATTCTTAACCCAGAAAAATCAGGTAATTTATTGCGCAAATAATCACTTTTCCTCCTTACTATTAAGCTAAACTTCAGGGCTTATTATTTTTAAATTTGAAATTGAATTGTTTCACAAAAGTCTAGGAATATTTTTAAATTTAGAATATGATTTGTTTTATATAGATTTTTCGGGTAGGATTTGACTGTGCTTTAGTCAGAGAATTAAACTTGATTTGATGGGGCTCGACGATTTGTTTAAATTTTTGTTTGTTTAGTTTGGTACAACTAACGACAAGCTTTCGTCTACGGCAGCCATGAACACGGTTAAAGGCCTTATAAAAGATGTATCGGAACTTGCAGTTACTGCCGGAAACGCTGTAAAGGAAGTTTGGGGTACACCATTCAAACTTCGAGTCATCAACACCTCTAATCTAAACGTGGATGTTCAGTATTACGATTTACACTGGGAATCTGATAAGACGAAATTGCTTGAAAACCAGAGCAAAGTTATGCACACAGCTATGGATCCAATAGGTCGACGCTGCTACCACTGCAGAGTGTGGCAGAATGATGTATTGATTGGCACATTTTGCGTTTTTGGAGATGAAATTGAGAAGAATCATAATGAGTTCGAACTCCGTAACGTGAATGGCAAAATTCAACCTTTCTTTAAAGGTAACAAGACTCCCTGGGCAGACGGAGGCCACTGAATCTCAGACAACTAATTTCTTAAGACAGTGCCAAAACGTATTTGATTAATAAACGACCTTATTTGTATTTCAAATGAAATTTTGTTACAAATTTTTTTCATTAATAAATTGATCTGGATTCCGTATTTTTCATTTCACTGGAAATATAACTGAATTGTACCATAATTCTACTGTAACATAACTTATGGTACATAAGTTACAACTAGAGCTAATGGTGTCAATTAATAATGGGAAGAGGAAACATCAACAGTGCGGTATACAAATTGAGCAGATAGATGATTCAGCACAAATGACGTCAATCGATCGATTGTTTGTATCTTGACAGCAGCCATACATAACAGTTCCGATGGCTAAAACCAAGAAGTCGCTTTCTCTCTACCAAGCCGTCGATCAATGGAATCCCTTCGATAGTTGCTACTTTTTGCTCTAGATCGCTGTCTCTCTCATGTTTGTTTAAGAGGGTTTCTTGGATACATCATTTTTTCATTTGATATCTGCATTGAACGAAAAATGGCAACATCCAATTTACAGAAACTTGTCGGAGCAAGTACGAATTGACTTGAAAAAATATTCTTCTTTCATAACTTATGCTATTCTATAATCTTGAAGAGCTGATTAATGATGTATTTCGATGTGATTCCGTTCGACAAAAAGAACAGAACGATTGGAAAGTACTTGTCATGGATCCATTGTATCAATGAATAAAGCGTTTCGGCAACAGAAAGTTGAATTAACACTTTTATTTGGATTTTTCATTCAAGATATTTATCGACAACTACAAGTAGAATAGGAACGATTCAAATCGATGAATTCGACAGTAACACGCGTCTATCGTGGTCAAGTTATGTCGCTGGGCGAAATAAAAATTTTTAGGCCGTGTGCGAACATCGTTCTAAACACTTTCTTTTCATCCACAATTGATCGCTCAGTTGCACTGTTTTTTCCTTAATGATATGGCACCATCAAACGATGAACTCCAAAGAGTTCTAATTGAAATCGAGCTTTGTGTACCAGAACAAAATAAGGAACAGATATTACACCAAATTCGATCGCGTCCCTTTGCCGATATTTCCCATTTGAGTTCAATTGCGGACGAATCGAAAATACTATTTATGATTGGAACACACTTCATTATACTATATAAAGGCTATGATGATAAAGATAAGTTGTGGACAGTTAAACTGGCATTAAACTATGACAGCCACATGAAAGCTGAGAAATATTTAATGGTTGGTAGTAAGAAAAGAATTCTAAAGAATTGCATATGAGCATTGCCAACATACCCATCCGATTATGCAGAAAAGAGTCATCCGAGGTGATAAGTAATATTTTCATCGAATTAATTAATTTATATCCATCAGAAAAATAGATAAAAGCGTATGAACTATGTTATAGAGCAAAATATAGTGCTCGAAGTTCATTTACGTCTACAAAGGATCTCCAAAATCTAATGCAGCTTTGTAACGACGCAATACAACTTTTCACCGAATACCTAAACGATAATGAACTAAATTTTTCGATTGATATCGGTGATGTTCATTTTGAGATTGGTAACCATTATGAAAAAGTGAAAGATATAGAGATGGTAAGTCAGTACTACGATACGGCTGTAAGTTATTATCGAACGGCAATTGAAAAATCGGCAACAGGCTGTGAAAAAATTTATATCTTTGATCAAGTAGCTTCCATTTACAAAAGCCAATACTATCGTAATAATGAGAGTAACTGTTTGATTGCAATCGAATACAAAGAAAAATGCGTTGAAGAAATGGGCAAACACGGTTTTTTTGATAAACTACACATCGGAAAGAAGCTAGTAGAATTGGCATTGTTATATGATACAGCATGCAAGACCGATGAGGCTTAAGACTCTCTTCTCACAGCTCTAGATATGATTCAAAGACCATCTTCCAGTATGGCATTTTTAGTAGACGAATTTTACGAAACCCTTATTCTAGACCGTTTAATTCACATATATGGAACAGACAGGCATGACTTGTCTGCAGCTTCCAAATATTTGCTTAAGCAAGACCTTGGGAAATTTCAGCAGACATTTGACTATGCATTAGCGATACTAATCGAATGATATTGTCTCCTGTACTCATGGAAATGGGCAGTTGATCGAGAATAACGCGATCGTAGGCACGTCGTAGAAATGACTTAACAATGCGAAGTTTCTATTCTGCATGGCGAGCAGATTCTATCTGCTGATTACGTTGTTTTTTTCATTCAATATATTTCATTCTTGGCGCAGAACAGAATGGTCGCCGAAGAAGCTAAGTCTATCCATCTTCATCGATTTTGGTGTCAAAATTATATTTGATCGAGGTAATTCGATGAGATTCAAATATACAGTTCCTTATTGCGTCATGATTAATATTCTTGAACTTCGACATGCAAAGAAAATGTTTTTTCCAGCATTACTTTGGTAATGTACTTATACGTGGTGACCTGAACATCACTTTCTACTATCCATTTCAAAATAGAAAAAGGATGATCATTTTCTCAATAACTTTTTCTAGGAAGTAGCTAAAAAGTTGCGGTTTTCGCTGTTCAAAAGAAAAATGTTGGGGCTACAAGAAAAACTAAAAAGTTTTGTCCCAAAACTACCTGCAGGTGGTGTACCTTGCGAAGATATTTTGCGAAAGATGTCACACCACTGAAAAAGTTTCGGATTTTAACTTTTGAGACGACAGGC